GTATTCTCAATTAAATTAAAGGTCAATTACCGAATTCCAGTAGCGTCCCCCTTTTCTCTTACTGCCCCCTGGTCGGGATGAGCAAACAACGCATGTTTCGCGAAGAATGCAGGCCCTCGGGCAGTGCACCTGGTCGCTTCGGCCCCACCCGGGCCCCCTTAGTTCAATCAGCTAAAACTGCGCAGTATTTGCATTGGCTTGTTATAAATATTGCCGCTTTTTGAGTGCAACGTAATTGATTTCTAACCCTCCGAAAGTAGCGTTGACTCTATTCCAGTGAGCTTAAGCAAGCAACGCCTTTGAAAACGACCGCACGCAAGTCATTCTCTAACTCATTAAAAAGGCACTAAAAGGCAAACGGTTCAGCAACGATCATTTCTTGCCTTATTGACTGAAAGAAAAAAACCTGCCAGTGATGTCCACCCGAGATGATTATGGGCCAATTATCACTTCCTGTCCATTTGGACACTGTTTGATTTTCCGCTCTAATGTATTTGTGCTTGCTCAATTTATTTGAAACATGATCATTCTAGCACCTTATTTACTGGCATTAGACCCTGTTTGTTTAAGCATAAAAAATGAAAGCATTAGCGCTACCAAAATGCCGGACGTGTTTAAGGACAGATGCATTTTTTACAACTACTTTGTTTGGCTTCAACAAATAGGAATGAAGGTTGAAGATTTGATTTAACTTATGATATCGGCATAAGGGATGCAAGCCAAGCAAATGCGGGCTTTGCCAAATTGAATTTTTATGCCTATAAATATTCGCTTGGAAGAAATTCACTCGCACTTGGTCTTGGTACTACTATAACGCTTTGGATCGAATGCCATTCAGAAGTTCAATTGCCTGATTTTCTTAAAACTACGAATATAATAAGCTGATGATCAAAATAAACTTTTAACAAGGAGGCCAGTGTTGAGCAACAATTCAAGTTACAACTGAGATTTCAACTAAACACTCTTCCTTCTAGATTAGCAGTTTAATTATTAGTTGAATCATGTTAAAGATCGTTTTTTACCGCTGAGCATGCAAAACATACTGCAAAAAACAACAGCCAGATACTAAAAAGGCGTTTCATAAATTAATGAGAATGGTGGAAATGAACCATTTGATCTCCTTACGTAATAAACCTCATTTTCAATGGCGGTCCATAAATTTATAGCAAACACGACTGAAAAAGCAATGTTTCCTCCAATAAAGCGTTTTATTAAGAAAGTTGAGGTGTTTAACGACTGATCGTTTTAGGGCTGTGATACGAAATATACACTACTTTGTAAGAGGTTCTGTGTATAAGAAACTACTCGAGGTAACTGAAGAAAGAACATTTTGTTTGACTTTATCTCCAAGATGTTTTGCACTAATTTATTACTAATTCAGTAATTCTATTCGATTTCCCAAGAAAATAATCTATCTTACTTTGGTTTGTCTGCTATTTCAGTCTGGATTCCGGACTAAAATTGCTTTATTTTAGCGGTTAACGCTCATGTTCAAATTGTTGTTCGCTTGTGCAAATCACTTGCAGTATCAGTCACATACTTGAATAAGATAACTTTCATTTGCTTATATCAAAAACAGACCAAATTAGTTTGGGGAGTTTTCTGATCACATTTCCGTGAGAAGGAATTCAATACGAAGTCTAGTCTTGCCTCTCATCTGCTTGAAACCTTTGACTACTCAATGCCAAGTTTCATTTTTCGCACTTCTCCTAGAGAACCCTTTTTGAGCGTGACATTTAACAACTGAATCGATAATTTTGAATAAAATTTGGTGGCACGGGATAAACCTTGAATAAATGGCAGGCCAGCTGGTTGGAAGATGCCGTACAAAAATTCGCAGGTGTTCTTCTTCCGGGTTGCCATCTTCATTACAATAATCGGCCTTTTCGGTGTGATGTAAGTGACTAATAAATACTAACACGTATTGTAATAACTGCGTTTTTTTGGTTTTCTGTCATAATAGGAGTTGCGTGACCGACAGTGACCATCGCGAGCAGAAAACGGCCTTTACATAATTGTAAATCCCTGTTTCTGTGCAGGCAAATAAATGGCGGCCCGGACGATGTGTCAAAAATGACGAGGGACCCCGATCGAAAGCCACCTGAGGCTCTTCGGCTTTTGTTTTTACCGCTCAGGCTTGTTGGGACCTGCCGGGGGGGCCCATGACATTCCTTAATGGTTTTTTCTCAGGCCCCTTTGCGCTTATGATTAATTTATTTTATCTGATCACTGCATCTTTATGGGATAATTTAATTTTATGGATATTATATTAAATAAACAAAACGTCCCTAGAATATTAATTTGGATAAATAATGAATCGTCGGTCGTTTTGGTCAATTCCAATTACAAACGCTCGGTCGATTTTGCCTCAACATTCACCCCCTATGTAAGTCGCTTTTAATCACGAACATAAAGCGGCAGGAAACGCACAGTTTAATTCCGATAATCAATGGAAAAAGTGGCCAACACGACAACATCGGCGAAGACCTGGCAGTTGCAATTAACATTCCTGAAGACCTGCCATCAAGCAGCAGGCGTAGAACAAAGATATCCGTGAATGCTCTGTTGTGTCTTCCCCGATCTTCATTTTTGTTCCCACCGATCCGGCCCCGGTATAGTGGATGTTGGAAATCGGTCTTGTCATTCAGTTATTAAAATGCCGAAAATTTCATTTCGTTGACCTGCCGATCCGATAATAATTAGGAAAAAGTAGGCGGATTTGTTGTAAAATTGATACAACACAAACATGATTCTGAGGATTTTTCTATTGCCAATCAGTGGCTATCCTGGAACGAACTGAGATCATTTATGTGTAATGCAAGTTGGCTGCCAAAAATTCAACAGTACCATTTAATTCACGATATATTAAGAGCAAATAAACTAATCATACTGGGCAATCTAGCAGAGTTTGGAAAACAGTTGAGAATATTTAAGGCAGTAGTTTGCTATAGATTGTCTCTAAAATGTGCGAAACAATGATCTTGTGAGTGATTTTAGAGTGTCAAAGGTTAAATTTAGTATCAGGTTTTCAGAAATATTTTCTTTGAAAACTAGTGCATCGGCACAACATTAAGCTTTTCCTTGGTAAAATTAAAATCTGCTATCAATTCCATTCAAAAATGTGGCGGTGGTAATACCGTCGTGAGAAGATTACTATACGTAATTACTTTTTTGACTCACTCGGAATTTTATTTAAAAAATAAAATAAAATTTAAATTGCCAACTTTTGTGATATAACGACAGAAATTCAATGAACATGTATTTAACCTAGGGATGGGAGAAGAACAGAGGATGTAATTCGTTCGATGTTCGATATTTTTACCATCGATGTTGGAAATTTGGGACATCGATAAAACATCGATGTTACATCCTGACAATAAAACATCGGACATTTGATGTTGATACTAGATAGAAACATTTTCTGTGTACTCTTTGATAGTCCCGATACAAACGATTCCGCGGCATAGCGGCCGATTTCCAGCTGTACCCGAAAAAAGCCTCTTTTTGCAGTCAGTTGACCGAAAAATGTGGCAATTATAAGTTGAATAAATTTACTCGATTATTTACCAATGCATTGTTTTAAGATGTCATAGTAGTAGTAAAATAAAATTATTTAAGTTTAAATCAACCAATTTGAAATTTGTATTCAACGGCAAACTGTCAAGATGTTGTCAAACATCGATGTTCTGCCTTCGATGTTTCCCTAACATCGGTATTACCTTTTGATGTCAACATCGATGTCTACCATCGATGTTATAAAATCGATGTCCCATCCCTAATTTAACCAGAATTAATCCAAACTCACCCAAGTAACAATAGCAACTAAATGCCCCACAATCTCTAATTACATTTCTTGCAACATATTAATCTTTAAATACGATAAATATTTTGATAATTGTGAACATTTATTGACGAAAAACCGTTTTTAATTAAGTTTCCGTTCTTTATCACAAAATTAATTTTTTAAATCCGACAAAAAAATTAGTTTTGTAAACACGAAATTGTGATTCTGATTTTTTTTACCGAATACATGTTATATGTTAGAATATAACAGATTTTTTGTGGGTAAAATAAAAAAAAAAAAATAAAAAAGGTTGACCAAAAAAATATGTTTTATTTTAAATGTGCATAAGGTCCTGCCTCTAAATGGCGCCTCAACATTTCATCATAACAATGGCTGCAAACTTTAATGTTTTGCCCCAAGGAACTCGTCCTAGCCTGATATTGTGACAATAGATTCGTTAAAAAAAATATATTTATATAAACCCAAAATCGCATTCTGTATCTTCGAAACCATCCACTTCCGGACTGAGATAAGTTTTAAGTCCCATATTGAAAGTAATTGCTTGAATGAATTAATATCACTGTTATTCGAATTAGTTTTGCAGGATAGAAACCTTCAAATAATTGATGAATGGCAACAAAAATTTACATTTGCTAACCAAGCTTGTAAATTTTCAGGATTCGGTTCAAGGATTCCTTAGAAATATCAAATCTAATCTGGGCATGAGTTGAAGTCTAAGAGTCAGATATTGGAAAACTTTGAATGCAAAAATTAATGTTTCCGGAGAACGGCAAGTGAACATTTTCTTATGGTGCTCAGTAAGTAACTAGTTTTGCTTCAGAAGGACTCACAATGGGGCGATGTGAAGCTGATATACAAATGCCATTGCTCACTCTAATCTCAAACAAAAAATAATTGCAAGAATGTGCATAGCAAGCGAAGGCTTGAGAGATCTGGTGACACAAACTTAATCCCAATAAAAGTAAGATTTTTCCAAAAAAAAGTCAAACCAGACGTCACCCGAATGTTACGAGTGGTTTCCGGAAAGTAGTAGAAGGATTCCTTCAACTTGGCTAATTCAAAATGGCGTTGATGATTGTCACCATCAGCCATCGTTGTGCAGCCAATAAAATCTCGAATAGCCACCGTCATATGCAAATATTCACCGATTATGAAAAAGCAAAAACAGGTATTCTCGTGTCTCACCTGTTCGACTTAAGTTTTACCTTCAAGAATACCATCAGTTGGTAAGGAGAACGCTCGTTGAACATACCATACCAGATAATATCGTGCGAGAGTGTCTATATGTGAGAGTGTGTGTCGAAGAAAAGAAATTTTCTGTTGTGTCGTTTCGCCGATAAATATCGCACTAAAAAAAACACCGACTTGTCTAGAGTGGCAGCTGAATAAGTCGACGGATAGTCTACAGTGCCTTGAACGCAACGGGGCTCATTAAGAAATTAAAATATCTTGGTAAAACAGTGACTAAATGTAATAAAACTAATCCCGTGTGGGCGTCAATTTCCTAATTTTCGTAGCCGACCCGAGTGCTGTTAAATTGCCATCAAAAGAATTTCAGTGTTTCTGGAGATCTATCGGACTCAAATCTGTCTAATATGGTGTCGCTTTTGCTTGCAGTGCCTTAGTGTCTGTGCATTTCAATTCATTTCTCAATAGCAGTGATTTTCAACCATTCGCAGCTTAATTTAATATAGGAAACGCGGTTTGTAGTCAATCAAGGATTTCGCGTCGACATGTAGTCTGCCGCGATCTAGGTGTGTGTCTTTAACGAGGAGGTGTTAGCTACAAGCTGTATTCTGGCCTGGATTTTTCCTTGCAGGTATGTCTTAATTACACCCATAAGAAACCCATAATATGTTGACGACTTATTTTATTATGAAGATATTGAATTAAACTGGTCACTAAATGGATCTAAAACTTGTCAAGGCCCTGGTATAAGGAAGACATCAATAATCATTAAATGAAAATGCGCATACAACACTGAAATCTTACGAAGTCTGATTATGAGCCTTCTAATTAGCATATAGATTTCTAAGCCTGAATGATGCCAACAATATGACTCTTAAATGAATTTAAACCTTTGAGGCGACTCAAAAATATTTCGCTTGAAACCACTGAAAAAGCTTCTCTTAATTTTGACAAACTCCTTGATTTTTTGACTAAGAATTTTTTAAACTGTCCACATTCTAAGTTTACTTTTAGACTAAATCTTCCGTTTTGCTTGGCATCATCTGAATTTTTTAAAGCAGAAAATGAGAACTAGTCACTCTGTCAGTGTAACTAATACTTCGTGTAACAGTGTAACTAATTAATAGTTTAATTAAATAGCCGAAATGTATTAGTGGTAGTGAGCCATCAAGTCATTTTTTAATTTCTCCAATTCTTTTGAATTCATTATTGAACTAAAATCTAGTAGGAAAATGTATAGCTGTGTAAGTAATAATAAGCATATACAGGGTGGTCCTCAACTAATGTCCAAAAATTCACTGACATATTGGTTAGGCAAAAATATTGCGTTTCAGGCAAATTTGTCTTATCTGAAAGTTAGTAGATTCCGAGATACAGTGTCAAAATGTAAATAAAAATTTCGCTTTTTCTAAATAGATTTTTAACCAGTTTTACTAGAACCACAAAAACTTCTGTTTGGGTGTTTTTTAGATCGGAAAATCCAAATTCCCTATTGGTTGGCTTGCAGTTTCTAGAGGGCCCTAGCTGCAATAGCCTGGAGCAATCTAAGACATCAGAACTTTTTTGTCGTTTCCAATATCGTCATACGGTTGGTAAAATCACATTTTATGATATTTTTGAAACATAACATGTATACTTGTTTGAAGTCAATATCTCTCACCGTTTACGAGATATTTCATATTGAAACATATAGTGATTTTTTCAACTAATTGGAAATCTATCTGAAATTGGATGTCGAAATAAAATATTTTTTTTTTGCAAATTTTCTATTAAACAAAACTTAACAAACATTAGACAGCATTTATTTAGGCACGTTTAGAACTACTTTAAAATAATATAAGTCAATTTACGACAATATTAAGGATCTAATTTGAAGTAGTTCAAAAAATTACTAGATGTTTCAATGTGAAATATCTCGAAAACGGTGACAGATATCGACTTGAATCAAGTACACACTTTTAGTTTCGGAAATATTGGAGAACCAGATATTTCCAACAAAAAAGCGATATATTAAAAGCCAAAAAAGTTCTGACGTTTTCAATGGCTCCAGACTATTGCAGCTGGCGCCCTCTAGAAACTACAAGCCACTCAATAGGGAATTTGGATTTGCCGATCTAAAAAACCCGCAAACACAAATTCTTGTGGTACTAGCAAAACTGGTTAAAAATCTATTCAGTAAAAACGAAATTTTTAGTTACACTTTGACACTCTGTATCTCGGAATCTATTAACTTTCGAATAAGACAAATTTGCTTAAAACGCAATATTTTCGCATAGTTTTGCAGCACCCTGTATAATAATGCAAAAGAAACGTTAAAAAATCGTAGTCAAAAATCGAAAATGTCCGTTCTGAGAGCATCTTCGGATTGTTCTAAGACACAAAATTATGCATCGGGGGTTTTATGATACTTTAAATGCCAAGAATAAGTAACACCGAACAGTGGAAAGTTTTGAATGTGTTAAAATTATATAATTAGTGGTTTCTTTTCCGTTTTTATAATAATGAAACTCACATCTGCATTGTCTTTCAACAGTACATGTACTGTGGTTCAATAAGTGGAACAATTAACACTTGATAATTGTTGTATTGTTGGAACCGACAAAGTTTAATAATAACAATGATAAACAATGACGCAAAGTTGTATTAAAATATAAAAATATTGTTGGAACGAAACAAAAGTCCTAGACAGGCATCCTGGAAATGGAAAAACTGCAACAATAGAAAATAAACATTGCGGTTGCCAGTTTATTAAAAAACAACTAAATTACCATCATTGCGTTTACCCTAATTAGCACTCAAAAGTAGAAAAAGAAACTAGCCTTTTGCAAACATCAGAACTCTGTTACAATACTCATTGTGTTTTCACAGTTTCACAAAAAACCTTTGAAAGCTTTCTTGAGAATGTTAAATACCAAATCGTTTATAGTTCAAACAACATGTGTTTGTCCAGTTATTTCTTTGAAATATTTCATTGAGCACCAGTTATGTAATTTTATTTGTCCATACTGTATCCACACTAAAATGAACTAAATGTTAAATATTTGCTTTTTCAATTTAACAGCCATTGGTAGGCGAACTTGCAACTTATTACCTATGAAACAATATTTGCAGACCTGCTTACTGTAAATTGTGCACAAGTGCTAAATGGAAGAGGTCGTCTATAACAAAATTATCACATTCAGTTTCGCACATTTGGCAGGTCCAAAGTTTAATATTGTTATTTCATTCATACTTTAGACAAGAATTAAGTTGTCTTCAATTCCCATGATTCGTTTAAAATGGCTTCGAAAAACGAACAGCAATTAAGTTCCGAAACAAAAAACTCATCCAAAGAATATCCGAAAGGAAGAGCTGTTGGGCCACAACAGCGATAACCGAAAACCAGTCGAATATTTGTGTAATCTTTAATAATATGTAACCTTTCTGATTAAGATTTATCTGTCGAGGGTATTGGTTTGGACGTAATTAATACCAAACCAGGTTAATTAGAATTTTTGAATTTTCGACCAGTTTGACCAGATAGCAGCGAAACGTTAGAACAGTGTTAATTTCTATCTTGGTTTATGACATAAATACTTTTTATAGATTTCTTTGAAACTATCACTTTAAAGTGTTTAATGTCAAAAAAATAATGGATGCGATCTAACTATTAATCTGAAAATAATTAACAATATCCATATTGCGTTTCTGAGCACAGCACAAAGTGATGAACTATGTAATATATATTTGTATTAAGATGCTGTTCTTGCTTCCTACTAGAGTAATTTTGGCACTCTGATCTATTCATAGCGTTTACTTCATCATTAAATAGAATTTGGACTTTTGAATGAGGCAGTATTGTAAACAATTATTTTTCCGATAACGCTGCAGCTGCCTAGTTATTTTTAACAATTTTCTGCATTCAATTGAGGGATTCAGAATTCTGAGAGAACGTACAATAAAAATTTCCTGCCAGCATCATTGATGGGCGAGTTTGGGTATCTATTAAAGCAGTTTATAAGCCCGATTCGTGCAAATAAATACAGACATTCAAAAATTCGCTTTAAAAGCTGAACATTTGACGCAAGTTGCATTTTAAAGAAGGAAAACACAGCAACCCAAGTTTATAAATTTAAGTGTAGTTTAATTTCGAATGTCAGGCTATTTGTGTTAGAAAGCTAGTCTGATTCGTGCCCTAAAAATTATTTGGAAGTGGTTGTATTTAATACAATACATATTTTTTCCTTATAACACAAATAAATACATCCGGATTTTTTTTATTTGGGGAACATAAAAATATTTTCTTATTTTTTCCCAATTTCCGCCTGTCTGTAGGTTCATGAATAAACCTGTCAAACAATTCCTCTATAAAACTAGTATACTTCTAGCTAGCATAATGCGCTGTCCATCATCAGTATCAGCGAATAAAAATATCTTGCACTAACAGTTCATAATAAATCATACATGCAAGCCAAGTAGAAAGATGATAATCAGACAAGGAACTATTTGCCTTATATTGAATGAAAAATTTAGAAAGCAGTTAGATTAGTAGGTAGTGCTGCTTCAGTAATTTAAGGATTTGAAGCAAGCAACTTCTCGGTGATTAAAGGCGGAAAATTTGATTTGATAAGTGAAGTCTTCTGCTTCATTGCAGCTCTTTAGTACTGAATTTGTGACTCAATTAACCGGAAAAAACGTGCAACTTGCAAAATATTGCAAGACTGCCATTCAGATCGCCATGTCGTCAAATACCGGAATGCGTGGCATTGAAACATGGCGAATAATTCTCATATTCCTCGCCCCGGCTTTTTTCGAACGAGAAAAATGCTCAAAGATTGCCATTTGCCAGGCTGTTGTCCCTTTTTTCTCCATGAACTATGGCTGTGAAGCTGAAGAACTTTAATTGCGAGCCACTGTGACATAGGTCGACGTGTGGAAACAACGCAGAACGCACATAAAAATGTAAAAGGTCCCGCGAGACGTTTTCTAAGAAGACTTTTTTGTAATTTTTCCGATGAGCGCAATCACTCTTCGTCGACCCATCCACTTCATTGTCTTTTTTCCGATGCGTACCTAATCAATACGTGGTTTGCGCTTTATAGCTGCCATTTAAAAAGTATGAATACAAATGACATCTTGAATGCCGCAGGTGAGCAAAAACATGCAATTATTATTGTTTTCGAAGCTTCAGTAGAACGTCTTTCATTGGGGATTTTGTTTTGGAAAATTGGAAAAATATTCAAGTTTTAAAATCCAGTTTCGGACGAAGGTGCTTTTCAGTTTGGTCTATTCTTGTATTTTTCAATTTCAACATTACAGCAGCACATTTTCCAGATATTCGCTTATACTGAAAATTGACTACCATAGAACACATTAGAGAACTGAGACTTGGAGGTAATGAGTTGAAAGTTCCTTCAAACGGGTCAATTTTAAATCCAATTTTAATTTGGATTTTACATACTCTAATGATCGATACTTAATGAACGCATGTTTCAGCGGAAGTTTGAGATCCTATAACTGAACAACCAGAACAGCTATAATAATAAAAAATAAACTACTAAACCAATAAATACGTAAGTTATAACGATAAAATGTAAAGGCCGTGGATTCTAGATGCGATAGCTATGGGGAAAGCAGATATTTAGGCTAGAAAACTTCTCACGGCTCGAGAAAAATCGAAGAAAAAAAACAAAAATCAGAAGTTCGGAGAAAAGAAAGCATGGCTGGTTTAAGACCTTGAGATTGCACCACTCACAACACTTGCACCAACAACAAATTGTTTAGTTTCACAAATTGCCAGACTTCGAAGCAAAGGTGACAACGAAGAAGCTCAGATTGCCATTTTGAAATATCTTTACGAATTTACGAATATTTTTCAGCACGAAAACGATCTTCAAAATACTTTGATAGAAAGTAAAAGAACTGTACGATTGAGGGTAGAGAGTGCAATTGGCAGGAAGAAATTGTAGCTGAAAAAAATTTGCAAATATGCACACCATCAAGCTATTCAACTTTCAAAACGAGTCTTCTGAGTTTGCTAAATCAAATCTATTAAACCCATAAGAGTTAGATAATCGGTAGTTCTATTGTGTAAACTATAAGCAGCCTTATAAATCAGAGAACTTGAACTGAATGTCATAACGAGACTCTGCAATGAATTTGCGATTTTAATGCACTTGTTCCACTTCGAACGTTTTCAACTTCGGTGTAACACTTCTTGTACACAGGGTTATTCAGATTATACGACTCGGAAGATTGCGGCTAAACTATTTAATGTACTATTTTAAAATGTAACATTTTATGGAGACACCGAAGACCGCTGAGGCTATATTTTAAAATTAATTTCAAACGTTCTCAGATATTTGGAGTTTTGTGAAAATTAAGATCTTTTTTAATTTAAATTCTCAACAGCCATTTAGAATTTTGAAACGAAATTCTACCCTGCTGCTACTAATACATAGTTCCATTTCCGTCGTAAAGACGCCGGTGAAATGTTCGATTTACTAACATCATAAAATGCGCATTTTCACCGTTAGGTAAAGCTGAAACCATAAAAATTTCGTTCAAATTTTATATAACCAAAAGTACCTACAAACTGCAGTTAAAGGATTTGCGCTATTTCTCAAAAAGACCATTTTTTTGCATTGTTGGGGTGGCGATAATAAAAACGAACTGGGGACAAATCCGGATAATGTACTGGCCAGCATTTTGTTTGCATACAAATCCTTAATACTTCCGGGCCTAGTATAGCATTTATTGTGATTGAAAGATTGAAAAATTTGGCTGAACATATCACTAACCGTCCCTGAAATTGTTTTCAGATATTCCTGATGCTACTAGAATACTCTAAAAGTGTAAAATTCAATTGTAACATATTGTGCAACTGACTAAATCCATTCGAGTCTCAATTAAAATTGTTTGTTCAGCGGTTATTACATGGAAAGATCCGTGCACTAAAAACATGTTATTTTTAGGAAGCAATCTAATTTCAAGTGTTGCAATATAACATGTTATGCAAAATCATATATTTTTGTAATTCCAAGACATTTACCTAATACTAAGCGCATGTTGTATAATGCAAGTCATCTGGATCGCACGATCCAGCGCTGCATCCAACAGCTCGTTGATATTATATCATTTAAACTTATGCTGGAAATATAAACGCAAAAACTTGCATATAAACGATCAATATTGATTATTTTAATTTCCAGGAATACAGTGTATATAGGATGAATATGTCCGCGACAAATAAACTGCTAAGTTCGATCTGGAAAACACATGTTCTCCATCTTGAAAAAATAAACACAATTAGCCGATCGAGTAAATGTTGTGAAAACCATGTTGTTTTTTGGTAATTTCTCAAGGTCGAGAGGAAATATCGAAAGTTATTTATGACCCAATTTATGGTGATTTTAGCGTCGATAACAATAACTTAGTCGAAAGTGTTAGTGTAAACTATGCCTAAATTTAGCAACAATGCCTTCCTAGCAGACATGCTTTGAATGGGCAGCATCATTTTCGGAAACCGCTCAATCATCTATATAAACATTGCCTGATTGAGTCTTTTTTCAAAAATAACCATTTGGCCTTATTACGCAACATTTTACGTGCATTCTCCAAAACCTTCCTTAATTTCAAAAACTTAAGTTGGACCAGAGATAGACAGAAGAATACGTAAATTTATGAGTATTTGATCCCGTTTAAGCCATTTGAAGTGATGGTTTTTGAAATTGGCGATACAAACAATAACAATAAATGTATTTTAGTGACTTACCTTAACCTGGTGCGACTATCCTTCACGTCCGAAAGGATAGCAGGATCTGAAAGAATATAAAATTTCAGACGTTAGTTAGTACTGTCCTTTTTATAGAATATAGGTTTTTAAAACTGCAAAACACCACATTTTGATTCTAACGGCGATAGTAAAAAGAAGCAAATCTTGAGACTCGCTTTATGGAAAACATTTCTTGAACACTCAAGTAATGTTTTCAACGTCCAAAAGTCACAATTGGACTATAAATACATATGAGAGTATGCATTTGTATTTCTAGTAGAGATTAACTCTCAAGGAAAACTTTACACACAATAACTAACTATTTGTATAAAATTATATGCAGTATTTATTTATTTGGGTAGAGTTTAAAGATTACGTTTATAATTTTTTTTTGAAGCAAGACATTTTAAATAGATCGCATTAGACTTTTAATCAATTTCCTCCAAACTGACTGCATTAGGCAAACTGAAAGTGTTAATTAAAGCAAATTAAATGTTTTTTTCCTGCAAGCAGCACTTTTCCTGCACACAGTAATAAAAGCCTAATGACCATTTGCTACTGTAGTGCAGCTAATTAAATTTATGGACAAAATCCCATTGTGCGGAAATTTTCTCATTGCCAATAAGCAAGAAAGAAGTTCCAGGAACGTCGTTACACACGCACTTTTTCTGCCTTTTTCATTCTTGCATGCCATATTAATATTTAACAATGTATCTTCAAGTGGGGGTACTTTATTTTATGAACCGTTGCGTCGTTACTCAGGAATCAATCTAGGTAGGAATGTGCTTGCTATCGATCACCAAGAAGTTACAAAAAAGTGAAATTATTATAATGGACTTTTTTCATTCCAGTAATGTTATTTAAAAATTTGCTAAATCACTTTAGGCATGTGGTTAATTAGCAGAATTGATTGTATTTTCACTTTTCACATGTTTTTTAGTGAACCCCGAACTGCGAATGTAGCAGTGAATGAATAGTCGACATAAGAAATATTAACGAATTTATCTACAATTAGATATAAACATTAGAAAGATTAGAAAATTAACAATATATCAGGTAATGGGCTTAAAGCAACCTTGACTACCCGATGTATGACCATTGAGTTCACCTTAAGAAGACCACTACCCTGTTGATTTTACTTAGTGTTTCAGGATGATCAAGTCTGTCACTGTTTCTAAGTCAAAGTAACTGTGTTTAAGTAATTCGTCTTGAAAAAGTATTTTATGTAGTTTTTTTGGTTTATTTATCATATTGTCTTAACCAAATAATAACTTCTCATTTGTATTAGTTCAGTTAACGTTTTTTTGCTTATAAATGTTTCGTCTCTTCTTTCGCTTTATTCCGACACCAAAATTCCCATTTATAGCTTGCAGATTTTCCATTTGCTGTTTACAAATAGATTTCCAATTGATCATTTTAATTAGCACTTTGGCACTAGCGGCTCCGCTTCCACAATGATCTGGCATAGCAAATATTTACGTATCTCACAAGAAAAGTGTGATATCAGATAGTCTGTCTAATTTCCACTCCAAATGATTCAGTGGAATTCAGAAACGATTTGTAAAATACCAGAAAATGTCGATGAAGAAGTACAGTGAAGTCATTGGTTAAAATAAATGGACCAACCAGCCCATCTGTAACAATACCAGCCCACATATTAACTGAAAATATTGACTGAAGCCCATGTTTGCAAATTTTGTGTGTTTTTCATCAATGCATATATGGTTGAAGCCGAAATTGAATAATCGTTTCTTCATAAATTTGAAGAAACACACATTTTCAAAAAATAGTTTTAGTTAGTTTCGATTGTCCCTAATAGAGAAAGTTATCAGGATGCAGGCAGCATCTGCTCCTTCAAAGATGAGAAGATGATTTCCTTCCACTTTTCACATGTAGAGGGATGAGAAGTAGTTTGCACTTTCGTATCTTTTGGTGCTCCTGCTTGTTCTTTTCCAGTAGAAACACTGGCAATCCTTAATCCAAAGTTAGATGATTGCAACGTTAATTTCACTCCCGACTCATTCTAATAGGAGCATGGCTCCATTTCGGTGACTTGAGTCGAATGGATCATTTCGATGTAACTCATTCCTAAGCACAAAATCAAGTTCAGGACAGTTGAGCAGCTCGTTGTTCGCTTGCGAAGAGGTTGTCTTGAAACGCTGCACCTGTTGCATTAATGCGGCGACCGCAAGAGACACGAAGGCACCGTTTATATTGAAATCAAAATTCCACAGCTTTTCACACACACTCACACCGGGTCTTTGGTCATGGCTTGTTTTCATTTTATTTATTTGCCAGAAGAGCCCGTTCCTTCGGGTGCCCCCTTGTCTGATTGTGCCTTTCAATAAATTAACTGCCTTTGGGCTTTCAGTCTTTCATTACCGCTTTTGTGACTTACAATATGTGGATTTGGCTGCCTGGTCTCCCAATCGCAATGCTTATTTTTCTCTCTCATTATTGGGACCAAACACCTGTTTGGTAACGCGTAAATGAAAGTACGGTTCACGTATGTAATAGCCTAATTTATTCCGTTTAATTTTATACAAGGTGTTGGCAGCGAATTTATGAGCATAATTGACATATTTATCATTGGAAATTTATCCGGCTCGTTAGGCATATGAACTCACACCTTAATTAAGGCCTTGCGATGGGAAATTTTCAAAGCTCATTCAGAGAATCGTTGTTTGTGTTTTGCAGTTGGAAAAGTGGCAGGCTAGAAATACAGGACATATATGACCTACCAAACTGGTTACATCGCAGTTGCTGCTGCGGAGAAGAATACCCATGCCGGAATCGCCATTGGCGTTCAAATGGGTGCAGCAAGGCTGCGATTTGAACCTTCAAAAATTCGCTATCCAGCTTTTGTCAATTTATGTAAAATCCATCGAAACATGACAAACCTACTCAAAATAACAACCCCCTTTAACGTAACTCGTAACACAGACAATGTTATTTCCACCGAATTCATGCGCTATACATTAAAATACCCCCCATATATGAAAATAAAGAGGGTTCAAACTAGGGGACAACCAGAGCCAATTGGGTCACTTCAACTCACCATTCTGGTCCTGGCGACTTTGAAAATTTAAACCAATAGCGTGCATGCCAAGATAAATGCACTGGAAGTCCTTGCAAATAGAGTAATTTCAACAAATTCCTTTAAAAGCGTTTCCTGGCTTACGAGCAATGATGTTAATGCGCCCGTATGTGAACTTGCTAAATGATAAACTAATCAAAGAAATATTTATAATGTAAATGGCTTCAACAATTATACTTATTTAAGTATGTTTTCATTCAGGTTTTCGAGTATAATGAAGCCAACGGGTACAAAGTAACGTTTGTGGTTAATTTTACCATTAAAGCGTGGATTATTTTAAAGCTAAGATAATCCTGACGGATTGATTAAATAATCACGTATGAATAACCGTGACAAGAAGCGTCATAAAAAATGGACTATCGAAACCCCAGTGAGTGAGTGTTTGAGCTGAGCTTTACTTTCAGGTGTAGGTATAAAGCAGACAAGGCCCTAATTTCCGGGCACCTTGGAAAATTTAACTGATATATTGAGTCAAATTTAAGATATTTGGTCCTTCGACCCGGATAACAAAATTGCAAACAAGTAAGGAAACATAAGTGAGATTGACACGCTGAAAATGAACTTTTGGTAAACCCCTCTGCTGACAACTGATTAAATCAAATGAAAACCCGAAATGAATGAACTAAAAGTGTTCTAATAATACAGTCGATTTTACAACTACGCAACACACACACCAACAATAAAGTGGCTCAAACATGCATTGGAAAACAAGGCAATTTTCGAAATACTTGTCGGTTTCTCGAAATGAACGTGGGTTGACTAAATTACAAACTAGTAAACAAGCTACAACAAAATAAGACGTAAAAATTGAACCGATTTGCATTTGTATTCTATTACTGTTATAAATAGTGCTCATATTAATAAAGCACGTAATCCTGCGAGAAGTTGAGGTGCAGAAGGTCGACGATACAGTGCAACAAAAGCGGTGTTTCATTTTTGGATTTAGGGGGGATTTTCCGAAAATATTACGATGGCAACGATGGAGTGGGCACAGGTGTGCCCCAAAGTCACGTGTGGCCTCGTGTGTGTGAATTCGGACAGACAGACCGGTGGATCGGGCCCCCCAGTGGGTGGCCTATCTCAGGATTGTTACTTTATATGTGCCCCATTGTTCGGCGGACAGATGCAGTGAAAAACCCACAATGGCCTATCTGTTTATCGTCCCGAGTGGATTATAGGTTAATAAATAATCGACGAGCTTTTTTTCGGAGCTTTGAGTATCTGGTTACGTTATTATTTACGTATTCGGGGGCATTAATAACTCTCTCGGAACGGGTATGGGAAAGGCAAATATGATGGGTTGGGCCAAAATGACTTTCTCGGAAAGCTCTCTATGAATTTCATCCAAAGCTCACAGGTTTTAATTGATTCACAATGATCCATCCACATTCTGCTATTGTACACTGTATAGGCAAGATCCCATTACTCTTTAGCTAAAGTATAAACGATGTTATATTCGAAATAAAAAGTTTTTAAAAGACTCTTCGAGCAACGTATCATTTAATTTTACTTATTGCACACACTTTGTTCATTCCAGCTTTATGGTCCGCAAAAGTGGCTTTGCATTTTCTGGAAACCGACAATGTTGGTTCATTTGCTGAGACATGCAGGGAAATCCGAGCTATTTTCCGATTGCATAATTTTAATTGCATATTTTACCAGCAAGAATAAGGCAAAACGTTCATGTAAACAAGTAATAAAATAAGACAGCAAATGCTCCGCTTACGAGATACAACGAGTGTTTTACAGAAGCCAGAAGCCTAATTTTTCCATCACAAAAGCGTGATTTTTGCAAATTTACTGAAACAAGACCTGCATCCACTGCAAATGTGCAACCATTCCAATTTTTTTTGTTAAATATTGACGAATGAAATCTGACATGTTGCACAAAATTGATAAAATGCTCTTTTTTTCGCCATCAATAGCTTTACGTCTGTATCCAAATCAAG